ATTTCAGTGTATGTACGTATGATGAAAGCAGAATGCAAGGCGTGCTGGTATTTATATCTGCAAATTAGGGTGAGGAAGCTTCTTTCCAGCTTCGTATGGATAATTATTGAAGGAAGGAATTTTTTTTCCATAGATATCTGGAGTGTGTTGAGACAAGATACGATCAATATATGATGTGGCATTCATTCCTCCAAGTCATTTTCATTGTATTTAATTTCTCATTAATAAGCGAAAATTCTAGTACCAAAGTTTGGCTCAAATACTAGAAATCCTTTTTTTTTTCTCCCTTAAATTTTGAAAATAAGTTTGCAATATACTAGAAATCCATCTCTTAAATTAAGTTACTCATAATTCCTGTTAAAATTTTATATTAAAATTATAGTTTAAACTCATAATTAAATTATCAATCATATACTTACTTTGGGATGTACAATATAATATTTGTTCAAAGTCTTTCTTAACCGTTAACAACGTATATATTCTACAAATACAATTGCTCAAAATCAGAACTTTTAATAAAAATAATATTTTTTTGAATTAATCACTTAAATATCTTGAGGAGTTCACCAATCATATACTTGTTTGAATTATTAGGTGTCTATTATTTTGGATTTTTTAAAAGTATAGCACACGTCACACAAAAATGGTGTCCAAATATTCAAAGTCAACTATGAGTTTCTAGATCTTACTAGAAGTTATCGGAATTATGCTTATATATCAAGTGCCTACTTAAATTTTGTCCTTGTATATGTTTCTCTTGGTAAACACAATTAAGTTATTAAATTATTAAAATAGTTTTAATCAAAATATTATTGTTGACGGTTAACGAAATTACCGATATTGTAATTAAGTAAATTTGTATAATTAGGAATCTTCTTGCAAGCTTCCTGTGGAGAATTATTGAGGGAAATGTAATTTATGTTGATTAAAGGTAGGATCAAATCTAAAATGCGGTGTTCATTCCTCTAAGTCATTTTCAAATTGTTTTCATATAAAAGAGAGCCATTTTCATTGTATTTGATTTAGGACGGTTGATTTGTCCTTAATAGGCGCAAATTCTATACAAAAAAACGACTAAAAATGCGCTCTAATTTTTAACTAACTTGGTCTCGCATTCAAAAAAAACATCAAATAAAGGTGATTTCAATAATAAAGAGGATGAATTTGTCTTAAAATTTCTACATACAAATAATTATGTTTGCAAGATACATATCATTGTTAATATATTAAACGAATTCTAAATAGATATTATCGTGTTATCAATCAGAATATCTAAAAGGAGTATTATGGATTTTCTTAAATGTGAATATCCTTTTATCTTTTTAACTCCGTAGACCCTTGACCTTTCAACTTCTTGTAACACCTCTTTATGTCAATGATTCTTGCCCTATAAATAATAGCTTTGTCCACACCATGCAACATCTGATTATTGCGGCCATGGTCCGTTTGTTTGTCCTTCTCTTGCAGAAGATCTATCAATGGATCAAATTATTCAGCTAAGTTTGATATTTGAAATAAATTTGGTATACGAACATCAACTTCCAAAAAGTAAGCCTAATAGTTGAAAGATGAACGTCAGTGATACAGGACCCAAAGTAACCGTTGTGTGCCTAAAGCTCAAGGGCCGCTTGCTGGCACTGACACTGACATATTATCTCTTAAAAATTAAAGCAAGGCCAATAAGATGCAGTGGTAGCTGCAGTATTATGATCAACTTGCTGCAACAATGTAGATATAGCTTCATAAAGACAATCAAGTAGATACAGCAATCATCCACAAATCAAGTTGGTAGTAGGTATTTTGCAGTACAAGCTCACAATTATTACAACTAGTAAATGCATGAGTTTAAGAATACCATATCAGTTATCACATCCTTGAAGCTAAATATGCAGGAAAATTTCGAACCATACCCCAATCTCCAGTGTTATTACTTTCTCTCCTATAAGTTTGGCTGCATTGACTGCACTTGGAAGGTCAAAGGCATCTGCGAGCTGTAGTCCTGGGCCTGCTGGTATCCACCCATCTGCTCTCTTGCATTTTCATAAGCCGTTTCTTGTTGATTCTACAAAATATTGAAAGAGTGAGGCTATATTTAGAGGGGCAATGAATATTCTCAAATCTCGTGGCCAGGGTTTCAAATCGCGGTCGCTTTTTCGGTCATTTCGAGTTTACCGTGATTGTGGCCATCGTGGACGTTATTGCGGGTGTAGCGGGTAACTCGGACGTTGGCGAAATCGCGGTCGCGGAACGTTTTTTGAAACCCTGCTCATGGCAACGCTAGAATGACAAAATCCTAACCGAGGAAAACAAACTTGTACAAATCGCGAAAACTACTGAGATAAAAGAGACTCTTTCTTCTTCATATAGTATAAAAAGGAAAGGTTAGCATCAAACTCCAGCATCCCCGACACTTAAATAAGAAACCAAACAGAACAACACGATGGGTGTAAGTAACGGTAAATGAAAGTGGGACGGCTTCTATTAGATCTGTCGCAAGATTTCTAGGTTTCATATGAAAAGCTAGGCACATGCACGACCTAAATGTGCATAACCGTGTTGAACAACAATAGAAATATATAATAGAGTTAGTGAGATCTCTAATTTACATAAAGAATTATTGGTTCATAAAACTTATATTACAAATAATTCTGTAAATTATGTCTCATTCTTTCTATTCTTGGATTATAGTATAAAAGACATCAAAATCAATCATTTATATCTAAATCGAAGATACTCAGCAAAAAAATTTCCTTAATTCTTTTTAAAAAAAATCACGTTATTGTGTGAAGTGTGAATTTTTAGTTTGACCACGTACATGTGAGTTAAAACAGATTAATTTTTAATTTAAATTATGAATTTTAGATTTAATATTAATTTGATCATAAACTTTAGTTGAAATATCATTTTGATCATAAATCTTAGATTAAATATCAATTTGATTTATGAATTCGACTTAAGTCTCTTGTCTTCATCTATCACTATCCACCGTCACTGTTGGTCACCACTAATTGGCATCGACTGTTGTTATCATCGTCTGTTGGATCTAAAAACTTCTAATTAACTCCTTTTAAATCTCCTAAACGTGAATCTAATGTTCGTTTCATTGAAAAATATCTCAAACTTAACAAATCTAGTCTAAATACTTTGATTTCCTTTAAATTTTAAACTATAATAATAAATATATTATTAATATTCCTTTAAAAATAAACACAAAATCTAAATCATAATAAAAGACTTCATCGCCTAATCGAAGCATTGAAACACATATTTGGTGAAAGAAAATGAAGTTGGGTGACCCTGCTTTCGTTAACGAAACCAATTATGTATTCTAAATGCTTTCTGCTTCTTATGCAAAACAAATTCAGGCAAAGATAGTCGACGACACAACTTTCCCTGCAAGCTATTATATGTACAGGTATGTATGGTATACAAACAAAGTAACAAACCCTTTAGATTCTAGTCAATGAAGCTTCTGAGCTTTTGTAATCCTTTTCATTACCAGATGGAGTGAAATTAGAGAGCACAGAATTAGCCATTTCTGCGTCGTGGATGCACTCAATGTTGGAAGTAAGTTGATAATTAAGGATCAACAGCATATAAATAATGGCGGCATTGCTTCTTTTATGCAGTCTATGTACCTTATCATCTGTGCATTCAGCACTACCTTTGGAATTGGATGCTTTGATTTCTAGTATTGTGTTGTCACTTACTTATCAAAGGCAAAACAAATATGGAACATTTACCCAGACTCTTACCAGAAAGGAGAATAATAGCAGTAGGAAAGTTTGCTAAAAATCTTTGTAATGCTGAAATATGAATGATTATGTCTCCCATTGTGAAGGAAATGTCACTCAACTTATACATTACTGGAGTTTGTTTGTAGGTAAGTATTGGTAATCCATTTGAAATTGGACGAGTAATCCAATCTTTTCTTAGGTGCAAAGAATCATCAGTTGATTTCTAGTAGCTCCATGATTTTTCATCCTGTTAAAAAAAATCAAATCGTACCTAGATTCTCTACTCAAAATTAACAATTACTTCATGTGAAAAGAACAGGAAGTTGTAGAATAAAAGATTCGGAATGGCCCTTATCATTGGTGATTCTTCTCTAAAACCCCATAATTACCTTTGAAGTAATAATGATCAAACAGATTTTAAATGAAGAAAATATTACTTTTTACTATTTGTTAGGCAAAGTGGGAATAACACTCAAAAGAGATCAACCATGGTTACTCTTCCCTGGCCAACCACTCACGGGGAGTCCCTAGGCGGCCACCGCCGCTTAACTTACCTCTCCCACCACCACGTGGGTTTACATTTTATCACTTTTTATGGTATAATAATGCTAATGCTACTTCAACTTTTTTAATTTTTAGTAACACCAAAGTTGGACTTTTCAGGGGTTGAAGTGTTCTATGTTTCGACTGCTCTTTTTGTCTACTTGTTGCTTTCAAGCTGGGAAGATCAATCTACTAATTGCCATTGAAAATGATCTCCTTTTGGCCATGACTAGTAGTAATCACTAATCACCCATCTCACCTTACATTGAAAATGATGATTTACCTTCCTCATTAATAGTTGTTATGTTCGCAATCACGATAAACGCTAACATGACTCATAATTGGTCGAGTACTTTGATTAAAATATCTTCTTTTTAGCACTCGTAGCCCACCATATGATCATTTATTTGTTAGATGGATGAATTGCTTCCCAAAGTAAGGATTTTGTCTTTACAGAGCTGGTGTCAGTGTTGAATAGAAACAGGCACTTCCAATGGTGTTTTGTTGTTAGAACAGAGCAGTTCCTTTCAAAATTTCAATCATTTCCAGAAGATAAATCAAGGATCTCCACTAGGTATTCATTACTTTCGGCATGGAATAACATCTTCGAATTGCTAGTTTTAATTGTATATAAAAGTTCATACTACTGTATGCTCAAAGCTCTTCATTTTGCATTAACTGGTGGGGAAAAGTTACAATTTGAAACTGTAAAATATGGCCCCATTTTGTTGAATGGTACAGAGGAAAATAAGGAACTGCTTAGCAGTAGGGGTATATTAACAACAATAATTCTCGCTTGTCTTGTTTTAACCCTAAAGATTAGTTGTCCTTGCTTTTTGAAGATTCGAGTTCAATTTGATCGAACTAGTAGGAGGTCGAGAAGGGCTTATACGACTTGAGATCAAGCATAATTCCTGCAATAGAACCTGCAGCAGCAGCTATGGTGATTATAAGGCAAGCGATGCTGAGTATTTGGAGGCAAAGCCATCTTGTGCTCCATTTTGGTATCTTCCTTTGAGAAATGTACATCTCAACTGGGAAGTAAACTGTGAGTGGCCAGAATCCAACAGCCCCAAGTAGTCCAACGATGTCATTAAAGAAGGGAAGAAGCATGGAGATCAAAGTCGTTAAGATCACAAAAAGTGTCCTCCAAACCAACCGGAAGAGGTTGAGGTTGTAAGGGTGAAATCCGGGAATAGGGATCTTGATATCTTTGGTAATGAAATCACTATCCGGGAACCTTTCCGCAGCAGATTTCTCGATAAATGCAAAAAGGGGTTGGCAGTAAATTTGGTATGCACCAACAAGGTGAATCACAATAGCAGCATTAGCAATGTCAAGGAGCCAGAACGGGTTATAGAATCCGAAACCAGTTAGAAGGTTCCCGGGGGACAAGTCTCCGAAAGCAGCATAGCCCATGCAACCGCACAACATGTAGAACAGGGTTGTCACTTCAACACTTAACAAAGTTGCCTTTTTCATCGTCTTTGATTCTGCTGGTGGAGCTTTAAGCGTGTCCTTTCAAAAAAAAAATCATATTTTTAAGTTCATGTTTGATGGCCTTATCAAGCGAACAAGTTATTCGAGTTCGACAAATAGTTACCTGAATTTCAATGAGTATAAGGGAGTACGAATAGGCAAAAGCTATGTCTCCAAGTGCCTGGAAGCTCCTCCATATTTTTTGTGTTTGAGTGACAGTTCCAACAGTTATCCCAGTCAGGCTTCCTCTAATTTTCCCATTTGCTGGTAAATTAACCAAAAGAAACACCTTGAAAATCACTTAAATGAAACCAGGTTGCATTTTTAATTGTCTAAAAGAAAGCTGATAATGATACCTGCAACTTGAGCAATTCCAAGTCCAAGTCCAATTGTGGAGTAAGTGAAGGACATGACAGCAGCAACAATGGAAAGCCACCATAATTGATCAAAGTCAGGAATTTGAGAGAAAATGATTTCAGCAATGCCAAAAGCAATCATATAGGGGTTGCTATTCATGTGACATGGATTTTTTCCACCACTGGCATGGAAGCAATTAGACCTTTTGATAGCCCTGTTATATCGAAGCTTCAACCCGTTAGCCGAACCTAAACAACTACGAACACAACTAAAGAAGAAAGTAAACATCCCTGAGATCCTTCTGTTAAAGAAACTCACATCATGCTAATTGATGAGGCAATTGTGTAGCCAATGGCAACTCCAAAAAGATTCAAGTATTGAACCCACCCACATATCTTGACCTTAAACCCACCTATAAAGTCATTTTTAGAAAAAGGGTTAAGTTTAAAAGTTTAGGAAGAACAAAGAAGCACATTTGCTAATGGAACTAAAGGATTTAATATAGTGTACCAAGATTTGATCTGACAGCTTCCATGTATGTATAGTTTCTCTTGCCGGTGACAGGGTCACCGGACCGGTAACAAGCTGCGAGAAGGGTAGAGGTGTAGTAAGTGACAAAAGAGAACAATAACATAACTGCTGGACCAGCAATCCATCCGAGCTGAGCTGTGGCCCAAGCTAGGGACAGGACACCAGAACCAATCACAGCTGTTATAATATGAGCACTTGCTGTCCATACGGTTCCTGCCAAAGGAAAAACAGTAAGATAAGCCAAGTGTTTGGTAAAATATGCAGTAGAAGCTGCTTTCCGCTTCCCCTTTCTTTTGAACTTTATGAAAAAAAGTTGAATTCCAAGTGAATTTTTTAAACTTTTGACAAGAGTAATAAAAGCAAAAGGATTTTGTCCCCGTGAACTTACCAGTACGCTTGATTCGGCCATCGTCATCAAAGCATTTGGAGCCACCTTGTGGAAGCACATCAATGGAGAGGCCGAAAACCTGGTTGCCCTGAAGGTGATTTTTCCCAGCTCCGTTCTCGCCCATCTTTGATAAAGAACAAAAAACAAAACAATCAGCCTGTGTCGTCTTGTCTGATAAACAAAAAGCTTCAATCACTGTTGTGTTGTAAAAATCTTACTCTCAAAAGTTTGTCCACACAATACAGTCTAGCCAAGGAAGAGTCTTGTAGTGGCGGAGAGCTAAGAAATGAAATTGGGGTGAGGAAATGAAGAATGGGAGTGAAGTATATATACTGCGGAGGATTTGTACTTGTCGTGTGGTCCAGATGACATACACAACCGCGTTTTATATCAAAAAACCTTCCCCCAACTTGACCCGAATTACTTTCTGCATTCGATAATCATATTACGATTTAACTATATTAAAATCAAGTCAAATCGGATCATTCAAGTAAAAAGTACCGTCAAAGGTGATTTTTTTTTTCTGTTGGTAAGACTCGAAGTAGACATCTTAATGCGTGATCCTACAGATATCCAAATATATTAGCTTTATCTTGCCAGCTAAATCTGGGTTACCCACAAAGGAGTGTGTACAGAACTTTCCTACAAGCTTTTCATATTTCAACAGTAAGAAATATCTGCACTTTCTACCTTCCATTTAATAGCTCCACCCTTATATCCCTATAATTGAATGCGTATTGGTATGCCTCATGTTTGCATTGATGTTTAAAAAATTAAATTTTAACTTTAGTTCAATTGATTTATGTTAAAACATTTTCTGATACAATAGAATTAAAATTATATTAATGAATAAAAAATAGTAAAATTAATAAATATATATATCTTTAGAGGACCACCTCAGATTAAAAATTTCTCTCCTCCATCCTTATTGTAGGGGAATAAATAAATAAATATATTATGTGCAGAAAGAAAAGAGTGGAATGGGTGGCAGTATCTAATTCCCAATGAATGAGGAAAGCACAAAAGAATTTAACCATTTCTTAATAATCTTTGAATTCATTTTCATCTGTCAATAATCTTTCCCAATTACAACACCCTTCATTTTCTTAGGAATAATACAGAGTGTTCACACACCCTTTACCATCTTTATTATTGTACTCATCAAGTGGTCTTAGTAGTTAAATAGAGTGTTATTCTCCTTAGAGATTCTGGATTAGAGCAAGTGCGTCTGCAAGTGTTTGCAAGTGTGTGCATTCGAGCAAATACGTAGGGAATAATTAGGTTAAGCTAAGCATGTGGATTAAAATGAAATTAAATCTCAAACAAACATGTTTATATTATATTGATTTGGGAAAAGCTGTAATTTGTTGGGTACGAATATGGTAGTGATATATACCCAAAAAGAAACCACTTTTGAGGGATGGGCAGTGGCCAATGGTAGAGACCGATCAACATAACAAACTCGGCATAAGCATCACACGCAGACTGAGTTGCCACCTTTGACTGCCCCACTAACTCATGCAACTCACCAAAATAATTAGTGAGACATCTTTTAAAGGATTTTTTTTCAAGTTTCCACATTTTTTAATTTTTCAGAATATCTTTTAAGGATGAATAAGCTGAAATGAAGTTTCCAATTTGATCAGGCTGCTAATTCTGGAGATCGACAAATCGGTATCCCAAAATTAAATCTTGATTTCATAAATTTTGACAAGTTTTTTTAAAGAAAATTAATGACAATTTAAGACTGGGAAAATATTGACAATAGTTTATTAGTTTATATATAAACTCATTTATTAATTCATTTACATGCATGTTTATTCAAAGTTGATATTTTTCTATAAAGGATATTTAAAATATTTTTTTACTTCTTTACTTTTCTGTAAAGGATATTTAAAATATTTTTGTTTACTTCTTTACTTTTTATAATTTAATTATTAATATTTATATTCAAATATTAGATCTAAATATATATATATATATATGCATAATATTTGTATTTATTTGTTTACTATTCATATATGAATTTTTAATTGTTTGCGGACGTATTCAACTATATGTTCATAAATAAATTTGTAAACATGTTTGTTTAGTGTCCAAGAACATACATGTTTAACATATTTGTAAGCACTGGACAACCATGTTCCTGAACATTAAACAAACAAACGCAAACACATAATTTTTAACAAACAAACACGAATACAATCGTGAAACTTTAAACGAACACAACCAAAACACAAATACATTTCAAAACAAACAAACGAATATGAAGAGAGATATATTCCTGCAAATTCAATTCCTTCACGTCCTTAATCAGAATGAAGAGTCCAATTTGAACTTAATAAATAATCTTATTATATACTAGTAGATGAAAACAGTTTTGGATAGGTATGCATGACTTTATTCTATTATTCTTCATAATCCTTACAAGAAATGTAGGTTGGAGGTCTCAATCCACAAGCAACATATAGAATCTCTCTTGTTGTTGGTTGCTAAAATAGAACCGATGGTGTTGATTGTCCAGACGATGTGCGCCGATCATGTACACATCTCAACAGTTGGTATGAAGGAAAAAAAAGAAATGCCTAATGAAATTAATTTAGCAAAATATCATAATTAGATTCGATATAGAGATGAAGATAGGCCAGATATTTGTTTTCTTTTGATATTGAAATTTAGTGTTTCCTACATTTGATTACATAAATATTAATATAATAAAAGTTTAATTATTGCATGAATTTTTAAAAATAGTTTATCATGCCATAAGAAAAATTATCATAAATTTAAACTTAATAAGTAAAAATTCAAATAAAAATTGGCATGATACATTATTGACCTCGAACCTTTCAGATAATATTAAAGATAATATAACTAAAAAATTAATAATATTTTTTATTAAGAGAGGTAGATCCTTATCTATTTAATATTTTCATACTTTTTCTTCCGAAAGAAATTTAAGGAATATTTTAATTTTAGATTATTAAATATGCTTAAATTTTTAAATTGCCAAAATTAATAATTTTTAATAAATTATCAAACAAGTCATTAATTTATGTATATATTATTTAAAAGTATGTCTAGAGATCGAATTTTGACCCTTTTTATTAAGAATAAAAACGTTTAGAAACAACATTATTTTCTAAAATGGAAATGGCATGGAATAATTAACAAAGTTATTTCGAACTCCAGCCTTTTAAGCAAGACGCGTCATCAACTTGGAGAAAATGAAATGTAGAAGAAAACAAAACCTATTTCTATTATCAAATTCTTCTAGAGATGTTCAATAACAATTATGCTGATATAAATTGGGGAATGTGTTTTTAATTTTTAAGTAAGAATTTAATCTAGTCACATGAGATGATTGATTCTTTAAACAACATCCATAGGCCGAATCATTGAGTGACAAATGGAGAAAATTTAGTTGAGAAGTTCATCTCGTAATAGATTTCTATCATGTTTAGATCTAGATTAATCAACCAATAAGTTGAATATGAGATGAATTTACCCGAAATAGTAAAACTATGAATAATTATATTGAGTTAGAAAATAAATAAAGGAGACTCATATATATCTAGTTAGATGCAGAAAAATAACCAAGTTGAACTAAAACAATAATCAATAATATCTTCAGCTGAAATTGTTGAATATTTGGCCCTTTAGGGTGAACTTCCCACACTTGCTTTTGAAAGCCTTTGAAGGCCACCTGCTAAGAAAACATAATTGAGTTGATTTTTATTCCAAAAGGGAGATTTGGGGCCTATCCTTGTCATGGAAACAGAATGTCCTAATTTTGATATACACTTATCTTAAACTTCTTTAGGATCTTTTCTATGACTCTTTGTCTCATTAGTTTCTTCAATTTAAGGTTTTCAGCCATGGTTAGGTGTCCTCTATATTGGGTCCATATGTGACATGTTGGAATTATTTTGGAGCTATATATATATAAACATCTAAAAGTCCATTCTACCATGTTGAATATATACACATGTAATATGTGAAAAAAATATGTCATTTCTTTTATTTAGAGTCCAGGATTTAAGAAATACATCACAAATTGTTTTCTTAGTGAAAAAATACATCACAATTTGTTCAACAATGCAAAGTTGCATTTGAGGTTAGAGGTGGGTAGGTTGGGTTCACTTTTTCAAATTTTATTTTATTTTATTGAATAATGTTGGGAGCTAAATCAAATCAGGTTTGAAATCGTTCCTTTAAATAAATTTAAGGGTAAACTAAGTATTTAGTCAATCATCTATTCTTGTAGTTCTATTTTGGTCACCGGTAATGTCACCTTATCTATGGAAAAAAAACTTTAAAAAAAAGTATTACACCAGTAATTTTGTTTATTTTTAACGACGTGTAACTAAACATAACGTTAAATATGATTTATAAAAAAAATAGTTGGACAACTAAATAAAATCACAAAAATAAATTAGGACTAAATACATAGTTTACCTTAAATTTAACTCCAAGTATATGAAGAATATATGGAGGGTTGCACCTCCAACTAGCACCAGTTAACTTTGGCAGTTAACTAATTCCTCAAATTAAGCTTTACTTTTAAAAAGCATAATAATTAGCAACTTAAGTAATAAGAATGATGACGATGGTGGAAAGTTCAAATTAGATTGACATGAAAGATTTCTTTCAGGTTTAAAAATTGAGACGAACATCTTTTAAACAATCACGTGGGATTATGTTAATATATTAGATTAACTTTATAGGGTTATATATCGTGAGTGGTCTATTTATATTAGTGTAAAATTAGGTTAGTTTTATAGATTTTCATAAGTTTTTCTACGATTAATATTTTGATAATCTTATTATATTTATTATGTATATATTCTTAATTCGATATTTTTATCGTATTGATCTAATAAGGTGTCTTTATAATATATGATCTACTTCAATGTAACATAAATACCACGGTTAAAGTATTAAAATATTAATTATAAAAAATTTATGAAAATATATATCACTTAGTTTTATACTAATTTAAATAGATTCCTCTCGTATATAATATTTTCCTCCGTCTCTAAAGAAAGTATAACGCAATTGAATTTACACCCACTTGTGTTCTCTTTATCTATCTTATAAATAATAATAAAAAAGTGTGAAATTCTTTGAATATAGTACATTTTAATTAACAACTTGAAGAAGGATACTCCAAACATATTAGCACCTCTCTTAATGGAAAATATCATTGTCTAGATGATAATGGTTTTCCCTCTAGGTTTTCTTTAATTATTAATTATAAGAAAAGGTTATTTTTGGGTTTTATTGTTGGAGTGAAATAAGAAATACGAGTATATTTATCATTTAT